GGGACCTGAACCTGTTCAGCCTCCACAAGAGAAGGCTGAGGGGGGATCTAGTGGCCTGTTACAAACTGGTCAGGGGGGATCATCAGGCACTGGGGAAGTCTCTGTTCCCCCAAGCACTGCCAGGAGTGACCAGAAATAACAGTCACAAGCTGGCAGAGGGTAGATTTAGGCTAGATATCAGGAGGCACTACTTCACGGTCACGGTGGCTAGGATCTGTAACCAACTTCCAAGTGAAGTGGTGCTGGCTCCTACCCTGGAGGTCATTAAGAGGAGGCTAGATATTCGCCTTGCTGGGGTCATTTGACCCCGGTACTCTTTCGTGCCATGGCAGGGGATTGGACTCGATGATCTACTCAGGTCCCTTCTGACCCTAGAAACTATGAACTATGAAACTATGAAAGTAGCTAAGAGAGATAGTCTTTTCATGATGCTTAATGAGCAGTATACTAATTCTGCTGTGCATTCACACATTAGCACAGCTTTTGCTGTGACACACTATTGTGCAGTAAATGAGTCTATTGCGCATAATTGGAGTTTATACACATGGTTTGGGAGCAGCAGGGGGTGGAGGCATTGAACAAGCTTTAGTTAAAGCACTCCTGAAACATTTTTCACATGGGGGTGCTGATACACATGACACTGGAGTCTGGTGGAGCCTGGTGATCATGCTCAATTAATCAAGTCTGCTCTGATGATCTGTAATTACAGCACATCAGAACACCTTCATTGTGCTGTATTTACAATGCATCAGAGCAGCCTCACTGCATGTGTATAGGTACCCTAAATCTCTCATGTAGATGTGCCCTGTGTTAACAATATTTATATTATTTTGATTTTGTTACTATGTCATTTACCTTTACCAAGTATCATTCTTATTTATTCAAATGTAGAATACATCAAGATTTTGAATAAGTCTTGGGTTTCTATACATAGATTTAGGAAAAGAATATGGTGTGATGTTCTTTATTTTTTATTTGATACAAATGTAGGTAACATTAGCATTAACATGGAAGGGAGAACAGCCTAAGACCTACATGTTCTGAATTTGAAGACACCTTCACTTCCAATTTCTTTCTATATGGCGTCAGAAGAAAGACCAGGGCTGCCATCTAGAGATTAGTCACCTGCAAATTAGGCACAGAGCTTAGGCACTTGCCCCACAACACCATGCTCAGGCTTTCCAGACAGGAAAAATTCATAGGAATTCATAGGAAAGTAGTACTGGAAGGGACCTCACATGATCATCTAGTCCAGACCTCCGCTCAAGGCAGGATCATCCCTGGCAAAACCATTCCAGCCAAGCATCTGTCTAACCTGCTTTTGAAAGTTTCCAAGGATAGAGATTCTTGAACCTCTCTAGTTAGTCCTGTTCCAATGTTTAACCATCCTCGTATTCAGAAAGTTCTTACTAATCTCCAACCTAAATTTCCCCTTCTGCAGCTTGAGGCCATTGCTCCTAGCTCCATTCCCTACAGCCAAAAAGAAAAGCCCAATTCCATCCTAATCACCAAATCTGGTATTTGAAGACTGCTATCAAATCCAGAAATGTGTTCAGATGGCCTTCACATGGTCCAGCTGCAGTATCCATAATGGAAGAAACCCACCACTCCGAAGCAAGTGAAGTCCTGGTCTCTGAGTAGAAGAAACAGGATATTTTACTAGCAGAGTGGTAACTGTCAGTGCATCTGTGGCACCAGTTATTATCTTCGGTTCATTCCCTACCTAAAGGCTGGAATGGCTAACTGTGGGAGCGGAGGTAATTGTTGTAGCTCTGCTCATTTAAGAGTTTGTTGTTACATACTTCCTGAGAGAAACCCTATTAAGCTCAATGCCCCTGAGTTTGTGTCCCCAATAGTGCATTCTGCATCTGTTCAGCCTCTCGAGCCACTGCATTTATGGGAGAATCTGCCCCCTCCCATTCCTATGGCTGACAACACTCTCTGGTGATGGTGTGAGTCCCACCAGATGGGAGAGCACGCAGCAGGTTGAAACAAAGTTATTACATGGTTTGTGAATCATACCTATACAGAGGCGTGGCAGAATGGTACCCACTTTCATACAGCCAGAAGGAGGCTATATCCTCAAGTCTCCACCACTTATCCTCATCCTTTTATACCAGTGGGGTTCCTAAAGTAAGTCAGTGCTATGATTCTGCCAAGACAATGCTGTTTCATTAACCCAATACAGCATTGTCCCCATGAGCAACAGTGGGAGCTCTTTCACTCTCTGGGAGGTGAAGCATAGTTACAGGCTCCCAAAGAAAGAAGGATAAATGTGATCTGTGAGAAAATGGGGTGTTCACTACTATCTCTGGGTGTTCCTCCACGGGAGGCCCCGACACCGCCCGTGTATAACTCCACACCCTGGTGAAGGTCACAAGTTAAAATCCCAACCCTCGTAAATGCTTTGTTGTTCACTGCCCGAGTGTTATTCAAACCAGAACAATAGTATGTGCAAGCTACTTTTCCAAACTGATAAGCAGGAGCCCAGGTAACTGAAAGGTTGCTTAGATGGGAATAGCCAGTAATTTTCCAGTCAATAAGTGCACTTAAGTCCCACAGACAAAGAGTTACTCCTAGTTATCATTGGGATAGACTTAGCTCAGCTTTGAATGTATGGAACTTGGATAAATCCCAGAAAAATACTGAAGGAGTAACCAATCTCCAACAAGCAGTAAAGCTGCTCACTAGGGGAGGCATGCTCAAAGGAAAAATGTTAAAGCACACTGACAAATTGCTAACTGATGTAAGATTAGAGACAAATATGCATTTTTCCCAAGTAATAAACAATGTTAAAAATAGAGAATAGCCCCCTGGTTTAGAGCATCATGGGATGCCTGCAACTTTTAAAGAGAAATACCCCTATCAAAGTACCTAGGTTACCACTTGGGAAGGTTATGATGAAAGAAAATGTTCATTCCTGGTACTGAAAGTAAAAGAGGGAAACTAGACCACTGCTTATTTGCCAAACATGGGGCTAGGAGGAGGATGCCTTTGGGACTGGAATCTGCATCATCCCATATGGGAAATAGTTACCCCCGATGGCCCTTGGTATGTAGCACAGTCCCCCTTGGTTCAAATTAGTAGCACCTTGATTGGATTAGGGACCCTATGGAGAGGCTAGCCTCTCAGCCCACCTAATATGACCTGCATATACGAGTTACTTAATGTGTCATATATAACAATAAAGCAACATGTTTGTTGGGAAGGACCAAATCATTTGCTGCATGAAAATAGTACCACCTGGACTTTATGCAATTTTTGTTGCTTAAGAGCTAAAAGTGGAGCTGTTGCTATATTGCAATTAGATAAGTGTACTATTGCCCTAAAATGGCCAGAAATTTCCTCTGAGACTATATCTCTCAACTTTACAATACTCACTTCATGGGTATCAGATGTAGATATGCCATGGTTAGAAAACTAAAATAAAGTGAAAAATAAGCTACAAAGCCTTGAGGCATAGGCTCAGCAAGGCACTCGGCTCTCCTTGCTCAAGAAAGTGAGTGAATCATCAGCCTAGATGTCAATGTCCCCAAACCATGTAAATGGTATGATGTAAGCTATACTATTCGTGTGTCACCAAGTGTCACCTCAATTATGTAGCTAACCATCTTAAGCATCATAGTATTCTTCATTGCCCTAGTGGCAACAGCTAAATGGTGTTTTAACCATTGTTGTCATAAATCTGTTCATGCTATGCAAGTTAAATTTAGAGATCCCTCCCCATTTCCCACTGTAACGCATATAGTTTTAACATCTCAGTTGTAGCTATCATAGTGCTTCAGCAAGCAAGAGGTGGAGTGTGACAGCTGAAAAGTATGCCTGTGTGATAAAGGTGCTTGCTGAAGGCTCTATGAAGATTAGACCAAGTGTTTTTCTGTATTTGTTTAGCTATTAACCTATATGTCATTGCTAAAAGCCTAATTAAAGTTTAAGATGTAGTGAGGCCTTGTATAAAGTAAGGTCTAGTAAATTTAGCAAAGCCTAGAAGTAGTAGGGCACTGTAGCACAGTTAAAATTACCTTATCAAAGGACAGCAAGGCTTGTACTGCTATTGGTCAGTCTAAGGACAGTTGAAGTAAAAGGAATTTGAGTGGTTGTACATTATCAGTACAATTAAGAAGCTATAAATTAGCTGGAATATCTGGAAACCATTCAGAAGGAAGATGCAGCTCTGTGAAAAGGATTAGTTAGCTGTTGCCTAGATCAGTGGGCCCATGGACCTCAACGAGCCCAAGAACTGCATTCCAAGATCCTTCCCAGTACCCCTTGGACAGCGCTGATCGGGGACTCCTGACTTCACTGAACTTTGTAGAAAGAGAAACTTGCTGTGCATCAGACATCAGAGGGGCTGCTGATAAGTTGCTGATGCAAATTGCTTTTGTCTGTCATCATTTGTCTTGTTACTATGTGTAGTTGTGTTTTTGTTAAGTCAATAAATCTTTCTTGCCTTTGTACCCCTGACCACACTCTCAATCCCAAACCCTCCATAGGTGGCTAAAACAGGTGCGCAGAGCCAGAATCAGTCCAGAGTCCTGGGTGGTGTCAGTGGAACCCCCTGGCTAGTGGGTGTGCTCCAGGAAGGGGGTCTGCCAGACATGAGGCACCCCCAGGGAGGCACTCAGAGCCTGGAAGGTGGTCAGGCGCAGTGAGGTGGGTGGCTCAACGCAGGACCACCACACTACTGGCCCGCCACAAGGTGTACTGTATTCACTTCTCTCCTCTCAAACACAGAGCCTGTCCTCTTATCATAGAAGGAAATCAGGTTTGTAAGGCATGCTTTGCTCTTGGGGAATCCATGCTGGCTTTTCCCAATGAGCTTGTTCTCCTCTAGCTGCTTCACAATAGATTCCCTGAGGACCTGCTCCATGATCTTTTCCAGTATCAAGGTCAGACTGACTGTTCTGTAGTTCCCCAGATCCTGCTTCTCTTTCTTAAAGTTGGGCTCTGCATTTGTGCTTTAACAGTCATCTGGGACCTCACCCGACCACCAGGAGCACTCAAAAATGATAACCAATTCTCTGAAATTACTTCACCCAAGTCTTTTAGCACATTTGTGTATATCCCATCCAGTCCCCCAGACTTGAAAGCATCTTCTTTCTTCAAGTAATCCCTAACTTGTTCTGTCTGTATTCTATTCTGTTTGTCTCTTTCCCTATCTCTGCTGCTGACTGTGCTCATCAGCTAATAGCTGCACTTGTTTGTGAAAACTGAAGTAAAAAAGGCATTAAGTATTTCAGCCTTCTCTTCATCATCTGTGTCAGGGAAAAATCA